AATTTTAATAATTATGCATCTCTTATTATTTAACTTTGGATTTGAATCTTATTATGTATACTTGATTTGTCTTTTAATTAGTAGAATTAGACTATTGTTATTATCTTAACAATCCCAATTCTTAACTCTTTTTAATCATTCATTGGTTTTTCAGATTATATAATTAATTTCACTTTGTTTATTTAATTGTTTTGTTTATGATACTGTATTTCAGATTTTCATTCTTTAAGAATAATGTTTTTGAAGGAGTTGGAAATATTAAAATAGTTAGATTAAGGAATGAAATCAGAAATAACATCTCGAAATGTATATCGATAAAGTTTTAATAAAATTTCTATCTTACAGATATCATTAGAGGAAAGCCTTATTATGAGAAAGTTATGCCTAAAAAAAAAACTTAAAGTGTTAAAATAAAAAGAGATTATCATTCAACTCTTAAATTTCTATTATAAGAAGAAAGCTCACTTGAGATTCTATATAAAATTATATATATGTAATAATAATAATCTTACAACATAATATAAAGCAATTGTTATTTGAACTTTATAAAATATAATATCAGATTTAAGGTTAAGAGATTTATAGCAAAACTTAATAAAAATATGCCAATAATCTAAATTATTATATCATTCAATATATTTTCTAATTTAAATTTAACATGATATATTATCCCAAGTTGCGACATATTGCCCATCATCACTTATGGTTCCCCAAAGTTGACCAGTTAAAAAATCAATAGAATGAAATAATGTAAATTAGTTTTTTTTATTTATTATAAGAAAGTTAACTTAATTACCATTCTTGCTTAATAATTATTATTTTGAAGATATAAATTTTTATGGAAAACCAAAAAAACAATCTTATTCTCCTTTGACTTTAATTTCTTGAGTTTTTTTAAACCTTTTTTCATTTTCTAATAATTGATAAATATCTAGACATTTTTATGTATCACATTGAATAGTAAATGTAATATCATTTATAAAACATAATCTTCTTGGAATATTATCTAATAAAATTGATTAGGTAACTTTCCAAGTTTAATTATTTTCAAATAAGCTCACTAATACCTTTCTATCACATGCACAAGAAATTAAATAATTTTAAGATTAATTTAAGCTTAAACTCAATACTCTATCTTTATGATCTTCTAAAGTTTAGAAGTATTAATCCTCATTAATTTTCCAAAATTAAATAAACCCATTATGACTTCCACTAATAAATTCATCTTCTTTAATATTTGTAATTATACAAAAAATCTGATTAAGATCTTTTTAAAATTTTTTTTTTACATTCAATATTTCAGAATTTTTTATTTCCCAAATGATAATATTCTCATCACCACCTCCTGAGATAAATTAATTTGATTTCTTCATAAAAACTATGCAATAAATAGAATCATTATGTGCATTTAATTGTTAAATTAACTATAACCTTTCTGAATTAAAGTTATAAACCTTTATATCGCCATTTATAAATCCTGCTGCTAAATATGTTGCATCCTTATTAAAATCCATTGCATAACAATGTTATTCATCAAGTTAAGTTTAATTCTAAAGTTCATATCTAAATTATTTGATTTCATTCTTATTTATTTACATACTCTCAACAAATTAGTTGAATACCTGATTCTTTTCTATTTATATATTAATAACATTTTTTTGATTATCTATGAATTTAATTAATGAATTTAATTCATTGCTTAGTTGTTCAGAACTTATTGGAAATAAATTGTCTTAGGAATTTAATTAATAATTATCAATCATCTTCTACATTTCATCTAAAAAGTTAGAAAAGTTAGAAAATCTTTTTAATTCTTGATCGATCATTTCTATTAGTTTTTTAAAATCCTTTTTGATTTGATCAGCCTAATTTTTAAATTTTTATAAGTCTTGGGCATTTATTAGATGTGAAGATTTTTTAATAGTATACGAATTCATTAAATAATAATTATTATTTTTTAATTATAGGCTGAGAATTTAAATTGTGGATAATAGAGTTAAGAGTAATAGATTTTAATAAAAATACTTATCGATTATAAAAATTTTATGACATCATAACTTAAAATAATTATCATATAATATATTTCTGCTCAGCGGATGATTAAAAAGAAATTCAGAGATAAATGATAATTCATGATATATAGAAAGGATTAGTTATAATTTTGCTATTTACAAATTTAATAATATATGCTCAGCTAAGATTATTAAATATATGAAGAAACAATTTGAGATGATATATAAGTATTTATTTGGCAAGAAGATAATATAAGGAGGATCTTCTTTCAAAAATTAATAATCCTTAAAAGGTCAAAGATTATAAATTAGGCTGAACTTTTTTTAATAAGTAATAAACTCTTTAAAAGAAGAGATCTTTGAATAATAATAATAAAGTTAGTTATTATTTAGACTTTAACAGATGGAAATGTAAGAATAAAACAAAATAAGTCTTCTTTGACTAAAAATCGTGCTTAATTGAGAATTATTTAATAAACTCTTAAAATTGTATCAGACCATTGTAATTTAATTAAGAGATAGTAATTTATGGGCCTTTTTGCTGATTTATGATCAAATTTATATTTTTATAATAATAAAAATAGAGTAAAAAATCATTTCATATATAATTCTTCTGGGGATCAAACGATACAATTTTTGCTATCTTTAACAAAACCCGGTTATTTATTTTATTTAATACTTCACTAATCAGAGTTTAAAGTATGTAATTATTTTATTATCTTTTTGTTGAATATCAACAATTAGTATATATATATATAACACATTTTTTCATTTAAATATTTGATTAATTTGAGAATGCTGCAATATTTAGTAATTACATGAAAATTTAGTTTAACTACTTATTCGAGGCTCTATTCTATTTTGTATTGTTCTTAAAATAAATTTAAGTTCTTAATTTATCCTTTTTTAAATTATTTCTAATGAAGAAAGATTTTAACAATAACAATCAAAACAATTTTTTAATCCATTAATTTTGTTAAACATAAATATAAAATTATAAATATTCTTAATTGTGATTTTTTTCTAATCTAAACCTTCTCAAAAGAACTTTTATTTATAAATACAATTAAAATTCTCCTATTAGGTATTTTAATAATATTAGAAATATAATATTTATAAATAACATGCTTGGATCTCAAGTGATTTCTTACTTATGAAGGATCATAATCATTCTTTTTTACTAAAATTTCTCCTGTATAACAATATTTTCTAGCACTTTTATATATTTTATATTTAGTNAAGTATTTGAAACCGGTCAATATCAAAATAATTATAGAGTAGGAAAATGGAAATATATATATAAAAAGGCTGAGATGTACATTACTGTTTAATATTTAGTGGTGGAGGAAAATATTCAAATTAAATGCATAATATGAAAATAGGTTAATGGATTGAATTGGATGATGAATTTAGAAATCAAAAGTAAGTGATTTATAATGGTGAATATAATTGTGGTAATAAAGTGGGCAGTTGGGATATTTGTTTTAGACAAGATGAGATTAATAAATTTACAATAATGTAAAATACTTTTATATAGTGTGCTATTATAAATGTATTAGTGGTGGAGGATAATATGATGAAAAAGGGAATGGCTTGAAGAATGGGCTATGGATTGATTTGGATGAAGAATTCAACTGTATTAAATAAGTAATTATGACTGGTAATTATGAAAATGGAAAAAAAACTGGTAGATGGAATATTAAGTGTAGATTGGAAATCAATTAATCATTTTCAAAAATGTAAATTATAATATATAAAGTTCTCAACTAAAAATTATAGCGGTGGTGGATAATATAATCAAGAAGGTATAAAAATTGGAAGATGGATTGATTTAGATGAGGGATTTTATTTTGAAAAATAAGTAACTTTGAATATCAAAATGGTATAAAAGTGGGTCCATGGGTAATTAACTTTAGAAAAGATTAGAATGATGAATTTAAACAAATGTAAAATATTTTATATAAAGTACTTAGTGGTGGTGGAGAATATAATTAAGAAGGGATTAAAATTGGATAATGGGTTGATTTGGATAATAGATTCAATATTGAAAAATAAATAATTTATAAGGGAAATTATCAAAATGGTGTAAAAGTGGGTCCATGGGTAATTAACTTT